ACTAAATGCAAAAGGCTCGATTCCCCTACTGAGATACTCTGAGACAAGAATCACAGAATCACAGAATCGCTCGGTTGGAAAAGACCTCTGAGATCATCATGTCCAACCGTTCCTGTCTACCCACTAAACCATATCCTTAAGTACCTCATCTACCCGCTCCTTAAATACATCCAGGGATGGTGACTCCACCACCTCTCTGGGCAGCCTGTTCCAGCTTCTGACGACCCTCTCAGTAAAGAACTTCTTCCTTATCTCTAACCTGAACCTCCCTTGGCACAGCTTGGTGCCGTTTCCCCTTGTTCTATCCCCCATCACCTGGGAGAAGAGACCAGCACCCACCTCTCTACAACCTCCCTTGAGGTAGTTGTAGGTGGTGATGAGGTCTCCCCTCAGCCTTCTCTTCTCCAGGCTAAACAACCCCAGTTCCCTCAGCCGCTCCTCATAAGGCTTGTTCTCCAGACCCCTCACCATCCTTGTGACTCTTCTCTGAACACGCTCCAGAATCTCAACATCCTTCTTATAGTGAGGGGTCCAGAACTGATCCCTTCCAGTATTCCTACTGAATGTCTCTTACTAGTTTTAAATTCACACATTTGATTCAAGCCACTCAACCTAAAAGCAATTATGGAAAATATTTAATTACTTAGTTCTATACAGGATTAAAATCACAAGACAAAGTAACAATTCAGAATGTTGTCACAAAATGTTAAAGAATATCCCTCTTTTATGCTATAGAAGAAAGAACTACCTCATCTAAACTGTAATGAAACATGTAGAAATTGGGAATGAATGTCCGCTTAGGTAGCTTTGTGCTAAAATGCAAGAAAAATACAGTTTGCTTAATAAACTCCTGGCACATTTGAACCTGAGCTTAATCATAAACCTCATTAAAGACTAAGATTTATAAAAGATGCTAATATTTATAAAAATATAGCTTGGTATTTCAGAAACAAAAATCCTCCCCCTCTTCAATTTATCTAAAGCATACTTTGCTCATTAAAAGATTCACCAAGACTTTTAGAGACAGTTCCACCAATTTAGTACCTTTAACACAAATGGATCAAGTCTTGCAGTGTTCCCTCAGCACAAAGGAAACTTTTTCAAGGAGTTTTTGAAATGCAAGATTTCTGACAGAGGAGGCAGACACTACTGCTTGTGGAAGCACACATCTACACAAGTTCTTAAACAGTGTGATGTCTGAGCATGTAATGACCCTGCATATAACACTGGCACTAAAAGAAAATCTTCTCCCATTCCTACAGCTGTATCAACAGAAGTATACCACACGTTACACAATCCTTCTTCTGTGCTTTGTTCTGATGCAAATCAAGAGCTCTGCTCCCAGCGTGCCCACCAGGCACTCCAGATGTGCCTTCTGTGCCTGTAGCACTCCCTACATTGACACAGTCTGTGTCCAGTTTCATAAAGGAGGCTTTCCCTTTGAAGGACAGGGAACCTGTGCCATACAGATGACTCAGTGTGCAAGTGAGCCAGCTCCTACAGCTCACTTTTCCCAACAGGGCCCTGAGAACCTTTCCCAGAAGCCTGCTGGGGATGTGAAGGGCCTTACCTGCATCACCAAAAAGCCCTGAGCACAGACCTGCACACCATCCAGACAGGGCTGCACAGCAGAGCCCTGGGCTTGAACATAGAAATAGTAGCTGTGGGGTTGCCACTTCTTTTGCTTTTTTTTCCTCTCTCTCTCTGTAACCATCTCAGGTAACTCTTACTCCTCTAAGAATTCTCTAGCACAAAGGAAGAAGAAAGATACTTTCCAGGACTTTGGACAAATTGAACGTATGTTTTTATACACTCATTCTTCTGGAATCCTATTGCTCTTTAAGATATAAGTGATGAATTACTGTGTATATTTTGGGGCGATTCCTTAAAGGAATGACAAAACACAGGTAACAATTTTAAAACAGTGAGAGGTATGCCAAGTACAAAAGCACTTCTCTTGTAATAATGAGCAATTTCAATACTCCAGCTGTAATGGGAAGTTCCTGGAACGTGGTTAAACTAAATTCTACTTGGCTCAGACCCATGCAAATATTTCTTTTCCACATTCCCATCAATTACAAAAGTACAGTAAGTGTTTTTGTTCTTAAGTGCACTATTACAGGGGACACAAATAAGCCATTTTTCTTCCAGCAATTGGAGCCAGCGTTTCTAAAATACTACATTACACATTTGGTAGACTTGCCGCATGCTCCAGCTTTTACTTCTGTTGCATTAGTAATCCACGCCATTGGAATCAACTGAGAAAGGGCAGTACAACTGCATGTCCTAACCAGACTACACAGGCTTACAATGGTAGTAGAGTTGTTTTTACTTCAGTGCTGGTACAAGTATTCACACCTGGGAGAAGAGTCATCACAAGCAGAGAAAGACTATTGTTAACCCTTCATGTACAAGCAATAGCAGATATGCACCATGAAGGAACCCTTTTAATGAAAAATTACATTGTATAAAGTCGGAGTTACCACTGTAAATCCATGTTTTAGCTTGGTAACTTTATACTGAGACTTTATTAGGACAAGTAATAATGCTACTAAAAAAGAAAAAGTAACTGGAGGTATGCATGCACCTTGGATGTTTTTCAGAGTGAAATACATCAACCTCACAAACATTGCCTTCCATCACTGACAAAGTCTACCAAAATGTAAAATGACTATAGAATTGCAATGCATTCTCAATGCACATCAGTTGTGGTTTGCCTGTGCTTTTATCTCTTCTTACAGAGGCCAAACTAGAGCATGACGTTGAACATGAGTGCATTTCTGAGGATAAAAAGAAAATAGCCCATTTTCTGAAGCCTCCAAGTCCCATGTGGTGTGCACAGCAGACATGTCTGAAGTATAGGGAGATAAGATTCTACAAAACTAGTGTAAAAAATAAGTGCCCTACAAAATTAATCATTATCATTAAACATGATAAATTAGCCATGAAAAATATGTTTTCATGTTCAACTCTGACTCGTATGACCAGAAAAGAAATCTAGGTATCTTACTGAGAGCTAAATATCACCTTATTCACTTTCTGCGTGGTCTTATTAATCCTTTACACACAGTGTGTACTGGTAGCACCTGACCATACAAAGATGGCATCTAGCCAGATCCACAGGCAGGGACGTTGGAGAACGCAGTTCCATTCTCTTCAAGGCAAACTCCAAGAGCTGAGATGCCTGACCTTATACATTAGGTTGCTACTGGCAGGAGCTCTCTGGCTCAGTCACCACAAGGATGACTGTGAGCCATTGGCAATAATAAATGTGAAATTATTTACCATGCTGATCCACGAAGATAGTCTGGTTTCACAGACAGCTTTATGCTGGATGGTAAGGAGGATCACATTTTCTTCAGCTAAATTTGATCTCAACTACGGTATCAGAAACTAAGGTAAAAACAACACCTCTATAGTACAGCACCCCTTTGCACTCCTTCAAAAGAAAAACCTCTGCAGTGCTTTTGAGATCTGATCAGATTCATTGTCCAGTAACTGCAAGGAAATATTCTTTTACTTCAGAAAAGAAAACAGATCACACCCTCAATTAGCTATGAGCTTCCTTAGTATTAGAAAAGAAGAAACATCTGCTTGCAGATATTCTCCCATCCTCAGTGTTTTCAGAGCATTTATAAATAACTGTTCAACAACACAAAAAGGTTAAACAGCATATTCTCATTCAGCATCTTGACCACTGCCAAAATGCCTTACTTTCAGGCTTTAGGAGCTGCAATTTTCTTCCCCTTGAACTCACTTAAAAAAGAATAACTCCGCTCTTAAAACACTGCTAAAGCCATCTTAAACACTGATTATAGTAAACTTGTCTTCAGTTTTCCCAGTGCCTGCCCTTTGTCTTTACATTAGATGCCAACTGTATCAAAGAAAAAAAACTTGACAGATCTCTGCATCTTGTCTCCTCCTTACCATGCAAAACATTCTCCCCTACATAATCTACACAGCTGTTATCTTATATTTCTTCAAATACCATCTTTGGTTGTACTGCTATCCATGGTTAACAGAAAAGTTAAACCTATGGCTTTCTCACTTCTTGCACTTTCTATTTTCTCCTCTTAGATGTCTGTTGTCACCATTTCTCTGTGAACATGTAGACTGACACCAAAAATAATAAAAAATAATAATTAAAAAAAAAATCACACCAAAGCTACAGCAGGTCTCTTCACAACATAGACTTACTTATGCCAACATTAACATCTTCTCTTTCTTTCAATATATGATTTACAAGATTTGTTCTCTGAGCTTTAAAATATCTGTGGCAAGAATTATCAGCACCGCTCATAATATTGTTAGCACAATAAAGACTTAAAATATGTTAAAGCTCTCAAATGTTACTACAGCACATTGCCTTTTATAATGTCAATTCTGTTAGATTTTATTGGCAATAGTTTGTGGACTAGAGCTATGCACAGACCTTAATTTGATTATCTTTCATCTGGAAAGGCAACTATTGCCCAAAGCCCATGCTGCACACCCAGTTGAAGAAATATTTACTCCATGTAACAAAAGGTGACAAAATTCAGCCTTCCTTCACAGCGGAGTGGACTGCTAAGGCAGGGAAACCACTCTGTTGAATGCTGAAGAGTGGTAATGGTAAGAGAGTTCAGAGACACCTTTAAAGAAGTCTTTATCTCCTACTCTAGACAGTTGGGCTTGACTACTTCAATATAACCATTGTTTGGGTGCTGAAAGCACCACCTAGCTAGGCCATATGAGCTACTTCTGATTCACTGTTCTCCTTCCATCACATGCCTCAAATTCAAGCAGTGCAAAACCTCTGATCTCCATTATGCCAGTGCACAAAGAAAGTGGCTGTACCCCATTTTGACCCCTCTTTCTGAGACAGGGGGAATATAATATATTTTCAAACAGAAGGACTGCAACATGTTAGACTTTATAAGAGGAGACACTATGGGATCTCAGTAGAACAACATCATAGTTGCCTGGTTATAGATGACATATGAAAAAACATACGGACTTACTGACAACTCTTTGATTAATTTTCTTAGTTCCCTGTGCCCGTACTTTTCAGCGATGCTTGCTGGATCATCTCCATATTTGTTGGTTATTCTGCAAGCCCGTGTGGCCTCAGGGCAACTGAGTAGAAGTGTTGCAAGGTTCTTTAATCCAAATCTGGCTGCACAGTGAAGGAGAGTAGGAAATTCTTCCAAATGACTATCTGTATATGGAAACAAAGTTTTTGTGAAGAACAGTTTTGCTTTTATGGAACATCTTCCACCTTCTCTTACAAAAGTCCTTCAAATATTGGTGCTACGGAATCACAGTTATCAAATTGCCAATACACAACTGGCATTCAAAGAGCAATTCCTCCAACTAACAGTTTTACAATACACATACATATTTTAATAAAGGATCCTTTAGCGTAACTTTTTTTCTTGACAGAGGGATTTTAAACCACTTCAGTTCTATTGAGAAATAAGTTTTCTTGCAAGAGGAAGTAAATTCTATAGACAAGAGATGCTTTTGCTTAGACATATATCATTATGGAATGATAATGAATATATTTAGGAATATTTTTTAATTTGAGACATTAGAGTGGGAAATTTTTACAGGTTCATGGTGCTATGTTTTCATATAAAAGACATTTCTGAAAATTCACATGATTACCAGAGACTTGCAAAAATTTGCTTATCCCTGTAATGAAAAAAATCAGAGAATTAACAGATGAACGTATCAGATAATGGTTTTTAAGATTTATCTAAAATAGCATTATATTCATTTCTATCACAGACTTAATTTTTACCTTGGAGAACTGGGGAGAAAATTAAACTGAAGTCAGTTTATCATTCCAACATAGTTGTGTATTGTAACTCTACAAGCCCCAAGTTACATACAGCAACAACAACAACAAAAACCAAAGTGATCAAGCATAAAGAATGCTTCATTCTGCCTTCAAACTCTACTTTCTAATCACTTGTGGTTTGTTGTGCAGTGATTTGCCTGTATATCAGCATGCAGTATATCTCTTTTCCAAGTATGCATCCAGTCTGCCCCAGGCACCATCAACTTCTTGCACCATAGCACCTCAGGGTCTTTTAGCAGTGTCTTTACCATCCACTGCACGAAGAAGTGCTTTCTCTAGTTTGTTGTGAACCTGACTCCTGCTAGGTCCAATTGATGGTCCCTAATTTGTCTTATTCCACATCCCTGTCTGCTCTCTCTGCACTTCTTGTGATTTGCTTATTCCCAGAACTTCGTTCTTGAAAAGCTCCGGTCTACTTAATCATGCCTTACAAAGAATCAACTCCATCACCCACACTGCTCTTTTCTGAACCTGTCCCAGCTTTAATATACCTATTTTGAGATGAGAGGAGAAGAGCTGCATAAGATACTCAACTCGTGGGTGAGCCATGTAATTTATGCATTGTCATAATTATGTCTGTTTTGTTCTCCATTCCTTTTCTAATAATTCCTAGCATTTCATTTGCTTTTTGATCTGCTGCCTAGCAACAAGTCGATGTTATCATGGAACTGCGTGGTCTTACTCCTCAGTGCTAACAGCCTGCTGAAAGCCTCTCACTTTGTATGACAACATAGGATGGCTTTTTCCACTTGCATAACTTTTGTTTCTACCTACAATTAATGTCATCTGGCATTTTACTACATAATTATTAAATCTCATAAGGCCTTTCTTCCTTTTTTTTTTTCCCTCTTGCCATTCGCCCTCCTCCTTACTAGCCTGAGTACTTTGTATCACTAGCATAACTTTTTTCCAACTCTGTCTTCTGGTTTTGGCCAGTTATTCATCCATGCCCAATCAACTACTGACTTGATTAGGTTTGCTGACTCTCACAAAAAACTGCAAGAAATCTGTAAAGCAAGACTTCATATTACAGAAAATTTATTTTATTACAATTTCTATTAACTTGTCTGGTAGAGACAACACATTAACCTGCTTCTAGTTCTCAAGGTCCTCAGAGAAATTTGGTTTGGGAAGTTATACCTTCTAGTATTACAGAACTGAAAAAAAATGCACACTACTGTTATAAAATCCAGCTATTTTACATTTCCATTTCCTCAGAGCTCTTAATGAATACCAGTTAGTCCCAGTCATTTTTTTGTGTCCAACCTGCCTATTTTTTGCTATAACTACATGATTCCTTTAGCTCCAGACAGTCTCTTTGCATGTGTCTTCCAACCAGGACTACATCTTGGGATTCTACAATTTCTTCCAGTTTTCTTGAGTTCTCTTTTATATCCCAGTCATCAGCTGTCCTACAGATTAGCCAGCACATTCTAGCCCTTTGTATGCTGGAAGAAAGACTTGGTAGTAGTTAAGACTCCTTTAGGAATTCTCTTAGCTGCCAGTCTAACAAACTTTCTTATTTTTACTTTCTTCTGCATATTAAAATTTGGCTCAGCACTGGTGAATTTGTGTACCTTTGCTCTCCTGCTCCCATTTTTGCTCCTGCAGAATGTTAATATGGGAGAGAGTAAAACCTCACCCCACCATTAGATAAAAGGACTGAAGGAACAAGTACAATTCTTGGAATAGGCATAGCTGAGTACTGATCAACCAGAAAAATTGTTAGGACAATTCTTGACTGCCTTTTGGACAAAAAATATTCCATCACTACCCACTCCAATGTTGTTTTGACACAAGGTATTTGAGTGGGCTACATTTTAGTCAAAAGTCACATTAACAACCCTAAGCTGATTCTTAAATAGATTGAGTGTTGCTTGACTTTTATTTCCACCAGGCAACCAAAAATCCAATGAAGAAACTGTAAATACACAGCACCTTTGTAAATCAAGTCACTTATTTCAGAAGCCTTGTCAGGCTGAGCTTCTATCAACAAGGATATATGTTTTAGCTTATATTCCTTTGTATTTGCAGTGTGCTTTAAAATTCTTTGAGTTACAATAGGTAATCTTAAAAGTGTATAGCAGCAGTTTTGGAGAGAAGTAGGTGCTGCACAACTTCTTTACTCCACGTTACTCTAGAATTTAAGTGAAGTTCCACAAACTGGACTTCATTCTGTAATTAGAAGAACTATAAATGTTACCCCACACTAAATCAGTTTGACTTCTTATTTTTGTCTATACTGTGCTAACTGCAGGGAAAAACTAACACCCACCCCAGGGCAAATATATACCAACTTAAGGAGCTGTTACACAAGCAGAAAAATAAAAGCATGGAAGCAAGCTTAAGGCTGGGACAACAACATTAAAGCTAAGTGTAATTTGACACATTATACAGGATTCTCAAAAAACATCCACAAATCATAGTCAAATTTCATTTCTTATTGCTTCTGTCTTCTTTTTTTCCTTTTTCTGAAATGTCCAGCAATGAAATAGGTGTTAAGCAGTAATTTTACAGAAAAGCAAATTACATGAACTCTAATCAATAGTCTACAACCTGTTAGCAGACTCCTGAAGTTCAAATATAGTCAGTAAAAACAGCCTTAAGTATTAGCAATACGCTTTAAAAATTCCACTCCATGCTAACAAAATATGGAACAATTGGTTACAAATCCAAAAGAGGAAACCAGTCTGTATTAACAATGGACTGGATAATACAATTTCTTCATCAATATAAAGAGAAAGAGTCAGTAGTATTCATAAGCCTGTTCTAGGCTTATATCAGAATTTTCAAAGTAATTCAAAATAGAAGTATCCCTGAACAAACCCTAAAATCTCTTCAGCTCCTTCGCAGTTGAGGTGTTTATTCTTGTCACCACTCAACTGCTCCCAAGCTAGGTTTGATACTCAAAGCAGGACTGCTACACTTATGTACTTTGAACATTACAGAAGACTACATCATAAACAAATTAAATACCTCAGCCAGCCATGGAGGATGGTAAGAAACAATAGAACAATTTCCTAAAACAAACTTTTTAAAACATATTACTCCTTGCAGTAAGCAGAAAAAAGGGCTGTCTTCAGGTATGAAAACTTTAACAGCAGCACTGGTAGTGAGATCTTCTACATAATACTCAAAAAATTACTTAAGTGAAACAAATATTTTAACACCACATAATATTAAAGCACTTTCACCAAGAACAGGAGATAGAAACAGTTTCTGTTGTTTCTTATTTTGAGAACGAGTATTCAGATAAATCGTACAACTTCACAACTATTTGGGCTCCATGAGCTTTGGTAGAAAATCATATAGTCTCAAAACATTGTTTCTAGTCACAACTAAAGCTGAAGGAGCCGTTGAGGGTGGTGCTATCGCTACATACCAACCTATCAGTCAGTAACTTTGTACAACACCACAGCGAAATTCCATACATATATGCAGATCTAAACAGGACTGGTTTTATTCAGTAGCAGAGGTATTTTTTTTTGTACAAGATACAGTGAGATGTTAGAACGAAAGGCAATTTCCAAAAAGGTTAATTTTAAAGCATGCATCAATGCTAGCATCACTATTACACCTCTGAACAAAGAAGCTACAAGCATTACATTATTTTCTTGGGAGTGTGTTAAATCTGAAAACTGAAGATAATTAATGGAGTATTAATTCCAGGAAACAAATCTTGCTCAAGATTATGTCTACTGATAGTTACTATAAATAATTTCACTTTTCTATCTTTTCATGGCATCTACTTCTAAAACAAGCATAAAAGGGAAACTTCTGTTCACAGAGTATTTCAAATTACTTACTTTCACAGTATTAATTTCCACTCCATGCTTAAAATAGGTACAAGAGACAAGAGTGCCATCAAAAGACCCCAAGGCCACAGAGAACGAACAACATAAGTTGTAGCAGGATTACAAAATCACTGTAACCCCTCTCCTAATTTCATTCAAGAGCTCTCTCTGCAACATCTGTTGTTACAGATAAATTTAAATGCTATGGTGAAATCCATTTCTATAATATCTTGAATCAAAAGTCTTCTAGTAATACAAAAGACGATGGCATAATGGTAATTTTAATAGGAATTGAATACTCTGGGGGGGAGGGAAAATAATCACGTTTATACCACTATTAATATACTGTAATTACAAGTAATACACAGTAAATTTGGCTGCCTGAAATATTTTGTAATGCTAAATATGTAGTTTGCAATTTCTATGACCAAATTTTTAGCCATGAGCCTTGCTCCTTTTTAGTAATGTAACTGTATGAATGCACTCTTCTTCCCAGCAAAGATTCGGCAAAATACAGCATTGGAAAAATGCCAAAGTTTTGTCAGGCCATGCAACGGAATA